GCATCATTATAGACTTTCCAATAGAGTGCCACAGATAGAAGAATCAAAAGATTTTAAGATGTTTCAACTAACCTGACTGATTTAAGCAAGACTTTCATTAAATTTTGATCCTACTGAGTATAAAATCAAATCAATAGGTGAGCACCATGTAAACATACCCAGAGCCCCAGGGAGCAGCAGGAGAGCATGATCCCCCTTCCCTGTTTGTTGATAGTGGAGGTGGACCCCATTAATTTCCTTCTTTGCAGAGGTTATTGTGCTGGAATTAAAATAAATTAAAAATCAGTATATTCCATTTCACACATATATAGAAACACCTCATGCAGTTTTTTTATTCACTGGTGGGTCTCCTCTGAACTGCCTCCAATGCAACTACATCCTTCCTCAAGTAAGGGAATCAAAACTATTCGCAATACTCCAGGTGCGGTCTCACTAATGCCTTTTACAGTTGCAAAGCTTCCCTAGTCTTATACTCTATTTCTTTAGCAATAACTGCCAAAATTCCATTTGCCTTCCTTACTGTATCCACATACTACTCTTCTGTGATTCATGCATGAGGATACCCTTGAAGCCATTCATCATCCTAACTTGGAAATATATCACTGTTCCTTAGAGCCACAAGCTGATTCTGCCATTCCAAGTGATCACAACCTGTCTTTGCCCCATATTCCATAGTGCCTCTGGCTAAAGAAATGTACCAATCACCATGTGAAAATAAACAATTGATCCCAGAACATTTGCCTGTCGCAGAAGATAGTTCCAAACTTCTAATATCCTCCAGGTGTACAGTTGATTTTCTAATTTCAGCCATGAAATTCCACAACCAACATCACCAAAAAAAACATGTAGTTTGGTTTGTTGCATGAAGTGGGGGGTCAGTTCGCTCAGTTGACTGGGTGGCTGAGTTGTAATGCAGAGTGACACCAACAGCACGGGTTCAATTCCCACATTGGCTGGGATGGAAGGCTCTCTTTCTCAACCTCTCCCCTTGCTGGGGGTGTGGTTATCCTCAGGTTAAACCATCACCAGTTGTGTATCTCTCTCTCACTCATGTGAACTATGATACTGTCTCTATGGCCTGGCAGGATTACAATACTTTAATGGTTTTGAAGGAGTTAATGTACATGTTACATTGTCTTCCAACCAATCTGATAAAGTTGCACAGTCTTTGGGTGGAGACAATTGAGTTCTTCAGAAGTGCCTAAAGGGCGCAGAGCAATAGGGTTAGGGTTAGGGTTTACAGCTCATGAGAATCCTTAGTAATAATAACCAGCAAACGAATGTAAACTTACCTCTTGCTTTTAAACAATAAACAACTTTATTATTTAAGATAAACCTCTACTGTTTAGATTTTATCCTCTACCACAGATAATTAGATATACCCAAGACTCAGTGTAGAGAAATTGGATTTGTGACAGCAAATTACTCAAACCTGAGTACTACATGATGTCTGTAGTTATGCCTGGAAGTACTCAGTACCTGTACCATCTTGCTGCATACAAATTGCTTGCTGTGTTTTCTGCATTCAAACAACAGTAGCAAGGGTATAAATCTGATTGAAGTGATTCAAATATAGAGTCTTGACAGAGTGGATATGGAATAAATGTTGGCTCTTGTGGGAGAATTCAGAACTAGGAGCCACTGTTTCTGATAAAGGCTTGCCATTTAAGGCTAAAATGAAGATAAATTTTCTTCTCTCGGAGGGTGGTAAGTGTTTGGATCGCTCTCCCTCAAAGGCAATGGAAGCAGAGTCTCTGGTTATTTTTAAGGCAAAGGTGGCTAGATTTTTGATGAACCAAGGAGTGAAAGGTTATGGAGACAAATGGGTGTGGCCTCCTCCAGCCCCTATCCCAAATGTTCCAGGAAAGATTGGTGCTTTCAAGGATTTTGCAGAAGAGACAGAGAGAGAAGTTAGAGATGGGACAGTAGGTTGCAAGGACAAAACAGACTTGATTGTTGAGGAATGGATTTACTGGTTTCAATAAGAGAGGGTCAGAACTGGAAGACAGTGGACTATTCACAAAATCAGCCAATGTGGAAACCAGGAAGGGAAGCCTTGAGACAGAAACAGCAACTGGTGGAGAAACTCGGCAGCTCTGGCAGCATCTGAGGTGAGAAAGCAGAGATTATGTTTTCAAGTCCAGTGACCCTTCTTCAGAACTGGTGCCACGGTCAAGGGGGAGATAGGCGGAGGTGTCCTGGAGCTGGCACTCAGCCTCTGCAATGTAAAGGTCAGTACGCCAGACAATAACAGCACCAACCTTGTCTGCAGGCTTGATTACAAAGTCAGGATTGGATCACAGATGCTGACAGACCTGCCAAGTTTCTCCAACAATTTCTGATTTTGTTTCAGGTTTCCAGCATCGACAGTTCTTTGTTTTGTTTTAAGAAGTCTTCTAGTGTGCAGCATCATGGAAGTAGAGTCAAGGAACTGGAGGCACCTCTCCACCGGACAGTGAGTTTGGAGGGGGCTGAGGGGGATTTAGGAAGTAACTAGATCAGGACGAGGGTGATGGGAGTGGGGAGCCATCTTGAGTGGAAAGTCATACGAGATTGATTAGTAAAATATTAAAAGTAACGTATCTAGCATGTTCTTTTTTGTTTGTCAACTTTCCTCCTCTAAACATTAAAATGTTGGCATTGTACTTTTGTTGGTTTAGGATGAAAAACAGCAAATCAGAAAGTGAGGAAGAGAGATTGTGCAATTTACAAGGCAGTTAGAAAAGTACCAATGATCCCAGAAGCATGAGCAAATGCTACAGAATATCACATCAATTCAAATTATTCACCCCCTATAAATTGTTGACTCTGATAATTGTGCATTACACCATTTATTAAAATAAAACCGGTATCCCCAGACTCACAGTGGGCATCCCCATAGGATATCTGCTGGTTTTGATAGAAAATTCTGGTTTCGGGTGAGTCTCATTTCAAAGTGCTCAGTTACTTCTGACCCCACGAAATTTTGAAGACTATAAATATTCTTTTGTATGAACAACATATAACTAATAACTTCATTCTCTTGTGGTTTTAACAGAAAGGTCATCCTAGTCCTACTCACCCATTAGACAGCAATGACTGTTTGTGGTTTAATCTGAGTGTCACTTTGCCTCAGTCAAGACCTTCATGATAACCTCAGGCAATGCTGGAATTGAACCCATGTGGCTGGCATCACTTTAACCCCAACCAATTGTTCAGCCAAGTAAAAACCGAAAAAACTGCAGATGCTATAAATCGGGAACAAAAACACAGTTGCTGGAAAAGCTCTGCAGGTCTGGCAGCATCTGTGAAACGTTAACTCTGTTTTTTCCTTCACAGATGCTGCCAGACCTGCTGAGCTTTTCCAGCAATTTTGTTTTTGTTATCCAGCCAACTGAGCTAACTGATCACAATTTAAAGCCCCTTCCAATTCATCAGCACATTCTGCATGGCATAATAATCATTACAAAACATCAGTTGATCAGAAGTAGCCACAGCATTGACTTGACATTGATCATGCTCCAACCTGTTCTAAGCTTCCTTCTCCTTGCCCCATTAGCTTCATTAACTGGCATCTGATCTTCCAGCACCACTTGTTCTGATATGTGTCACATAACTCAAATCTTACCGTTGTTTTGTGCTATTACTCCATTATCTCCCGTCTAGGTAATGTAACCCACTCTTCCTCTGCCTTTCCTCAGCTGATCCTGGGCAATTCCTCCTTCTAGTCCATTGCTGTTTCGTGATAACTCTCCTCAGATATCATCGTGGACATACGTTTTTACAGCTGTATATACCTCACTGATCACAGACATTCTCCTCAGTTTTCATCCCTCTATGTACGCTCCTCACATCACTCCTGTATATACAACTCTTCTCACCTATCTCTATATATATCTTCCTTTCTCATCATCCGTATACTCTCCGCGCTTTTATTTATGTGTATATATACCGTCACTTATTTCCTCTGTATATGCATTCTCCTTACTTACATCCATATATATACTCTCCTCATCATACATTTATACCCCTTCATATATATCAGCCTGCATGGTGGCTCAGTTGTTAGCACTGCTAGCTTACAGCATTAGGAACCCAGGTTCAAATCCACCCTGAGGTGATTGTGTGGTGATTGCACATTTGCCCTGTGTCTGTGTTGGCTTCTTCCCAGAGTCCAAAGATGTGTAGGTGGATTGGCCGTGCTAAATTGTCCGGGGATGTGCAGGCTTATAGGATAGGATGCGCTTTGGAGGGCTGGTGTGAACTCAATGGGCCAAATGGCCCACTTCCATACTGTAGGGATTCTATGATATACCTCATTCAGCACCCCTATATATAAATATTCTCTCATTTATCAACATATACAATTCTCACATATAACCCTATGCTTGGTGACCTACACTGGGTCAAACAAATGCCTTGATTTTAAAATTCTCCTGGTTTGTCAATCCCTCCTTGGCTTCACCCCTGCTTTAGAAAAAAAAGTATAACTTGTGAATGACACTTCACTGTTGTGATTTGTTCTGTATACCTCAGCACAGTGCTCCACGTACAACCAGTACATTCATCTCCAAGTGTCACTGTCATTCCACACCCTGACACCTCCCGCCCCGCACCCGGAGGGTTGCCCGTCAGCTCCTCCAAACTCACCCTTTTCACCCCCGAGAAATCTGCACTTCTATCATTCCGGCCTTTTTGTGCATCCCAGATTTGAATTGCTCCACCTATGATGTCCGTGCCTGCCCCCAAGTCTCTGAAAACCTCCCCCTGCACCTCTCCATCCTCAGATTAAACTTCGATGTTTGGTTGCTTCTGATCTAATATCGTTTTGCAACGACCCAGCGCTGTACTTGGTTTTGCAGTTGCTCCTGTGCAGCACTTTTCACTGCGTTGAAGGTGCTACATAAACAAAGGTAGTAGTTGTTGTAGAGGACCCCGTTCCTGCATTAAGCGATCGTTCTTTGGGGGGCGGGGTTGGGGTGAGAAACTGTCTTTCTGAAGAAGGATCCGGACCCGAAACGTCAACTTTCCTGCTCTTCTGTCTGGCCTGCTGTGTTATTCCAGCTCCACACTATGTTATTCCTAAAAAAGGGCTGTCGCTGGACAGCTTTAAAGTTGTTCATCTCATCTGGCAGAATTTCAGCCGGTGATTCACTTCCCGGTCAAGGAACAGTAGGCGCCCACTGGGAACTCGGGTAAGATTCATCACAATGATATCATTGGATATGTATTGTTAGGGCAATGAATGGTCTTTTAAGGAAACAAGGAGGGTTTCCACAGGGACAGTAAGAACTGCCGATGCTGCAGTCAAAGATAACACAGTGTGGAGCTGGAGGAGCACAGGAGGTCAGGACCCTTTTTCAGAAATAGGGGAGGGAGAAGGGAGCTCAGAAATAAATAGAGGGGAGGGGTGGGTCTGGGGAAGGTAGGTGTGTTGGTGGTAGGTGAGTGCTGGTAGGGAGTGGGTCAGTGAGGTGGGCTGTCCGTCTTCTCTCCTACCTATCTCCTTCTCATTCCCACCTCCTTGACCTGACACAACCGTCCATCTTCTCTCCCGCCTCACTGGTCGAAAATGAGCAGCTCATGTTCCTAAACTGCGAATAAAGCCACAGATAGCCTGGCGCTGGATTAGCTCATACACTCCCCGAGAATGCTAACTGGAGATAGTAGGAACTGCAGATGCTGGAGAATCCGAGACAACAAGGTGCAGGGCTGGATGAACACAGCAGGCCAAGCAGCATTATAGGAGCAGAGAGGCTGACGTTTCGGGCCGAGACCCTTTATCAGAATACTAACTGGAGCTTGTCAAAGCTCGGCTGAGTTGACTCGGGGAGTGAAATGAATCATCTCGCCAGTTTCTGAAATTGCACAGTCACTTTGATATTTACCTGTACGTGCGAGAGACCCACTCCCTGCGCAGAATGGCTGAGAGCAGCACTTTGTACAAAGGTCGGCGAGCAAACCTCAACATATTCCACGGAAACAACCCGCTTCCCCCACCTACCAGGGTTTGAAGGTTTAAAAAAAAACTGGCCGGAAACTACAGCAAGCAGCCCGTGGAGAAACAGTTAGAGGCGAGGGCATTTTAATAGAGAATTGAATCCTTTCAACGCAGGTGATTAAAACAAAGAACCGCGGATGCTGAAGATCTGAATCAAAAGCAGAAATTGCTGGAAAATGTCAGCAGGTCTGGCAGCATCTGTGGACAGAAAGCAAAATTAATGTTTCAGGTCCAGAAGAAGGACCATTGGATTCGAAATGTTGACTGTCTCCACAAGTGTTGCCAAGCTTGCTGAGTTCTTTCCCAGCAATTTCTGTCTTTATATCTGGCTTTCAGCATCTGCAGTTCTTTCTTTGCTACCCGTGCTGGAGCCTTACAGCAAGCCAAGTATTCCCATTCCCCAACGCTTATCCTGCTTAACTTTAAAAATAAATTTTGTTCCAATACTTTTGTTCGTCATTGAAATGGGTGTTGAAAGAAATTGTTTGCCTGCACACCAATTTGATTTGATTTGATTTATTATTGCTACATGTACCTAGGTACAGTGAAAAGTTTTGTTTTGTGTGCAGTACAGGCAGATCATACCATACTCATAGAACAGAGTGAGGAATGCAAAATTATGGCTGCAAGGAAGGTGCACAAAAAGGAAGATGACATTATATTTGAAATTTGAGAGGTCCATTCAGAAGTCTGATAACAGTGAGGAAGAAACTATTCTTAAACCTGTTGATATGTGTATTTAAGCTTTTCTATCTTCTGCCTGATGAAACAGAACATAAGACATAGGAGCAGAAATTAGGCCATTCAGCCCATCAAGTCTGTTCTGCCATTCAATCATGGCCAATGAGTTTCTCAAACCCATTCTCTGGCTTTCTACCCTGTAATCCTTGATCCACTTGACAATCAAGAACCTATCTATCTCTGTCTTAACTGTACTCAATGACCTGGCCTCCACAACCTTCTGTGCCAGTGAATTCCATAGATTCACCATTCTCTGGCTGAAGAAGTTTCTCCTTATCTCCGTTCTAAAAGGTCTTCCCTTTACTCCAAGGCTGTACCCTCAGGTCCTAGACTTTCCTGCAAAGGAAACATCTTCCCAACATCCACTCTGTCCAGGCCATTCAGTATTCTGCAAGTTTCAATTAGATTCCCCCCCCACTTCACCCTTCTAAACTCCATCGAGTATAGACCCAGAGTCCTCAAATGTACCTCATATGTTAAGGTTTTCATTCCAGGGACCATTCTCATGAACCTCCTCTGGACCTGCTCCAGGGCCAGGACATCTTTCCTGAGATATGGGGCCCAAAATTGCTCACAATACCCCAAATGTGGCCTGACTAGAGCTTTATAAAACCTCATAAGTACATCCCTGCTTTTATATTCTAGTCCTCTCAAAATAAAGAACAAAAGGAACAAAGAACAAAGGATAATACAGCAGGAACAGGCCCTTCGGACCACCAAGCCTGTGCTGACACATTTTGCCCTTCCGTGCTAAAACTGTCTTCACTTACAGGATCCGTATCCCTCTGTTTCCTTCCTATTCATGTATTTGTCCACGTGCTTCTTGAATGTTGCCATTGTGTCTGCTTCTACCAGCTCCTCTGGAAGCATGTTCCAGGCACTCCCCACCCTTTGTGTGAAAAATCTGCCTCACACGTCTTTTAGAATTCCCTCCCTCGCATGTTGAACCTGTGTCCCCTAGTAACTGACCCCTCAACCCTGAGGAAAAGCCTCATACTCGATCCATGCCTTTCACAGTCTTATAAACTTCTTTTGGATTGGCCCTCAACCTCCTGCATTACAGTGAAAACAAATCTGGTCTATCCAACCTTCCTTCATAGCTAAATTCCCCCATACCAGGCAACATCCTGGTAAACCTTTTCTGTACCCCCTCCAAACCATCCACATCCTTCTGGTGGTGTGGTGGCCAGAGCTGTTCACAATATTCCAAGTATGGCCTAACTAAAGTTCTATAAAGCTGCAGCATAATTTGTCTGTCCTTATACTCAATGCTCCTTCCAATGAAGGAAAGCATGCCATAAGCCTTTTTTAACTACCTTATCTACCTGCGCTGCCACCTTCAGTGATCTGTGGACCTACTTACCCAGATCCCTCTGCATATCAGGGTTCTGCTATTCACTGTATAATTTCCACTTGTGCTTGGCCTTCCAAAATGTATCACCTCACATTTGTCTGGATTAAACTCCATCTGTCCTCTTTCTGCCCATGCCTCCAACTGATCTATATCCTGCTGTATTTTCTGACAGTCCTCCACACTACCTGCAACTCCACCAATCTTTGTATCATCCGCAAACTTACTAATTGGACCAGCTACGTTTCCTCCAAATAATTTATGTAGATCACGAACAGCAGAGGTCCCAGCACTGATCCCTGTGGAACACCACCAGTCACAACGCTCCATTCTGAAAAGCATCCTTCCACCACTACCTTCTGTCTCCTATGACTAAGTCAGTTCTGTGTCCAACTTGCCAGCTCACGCTGATACATGTGACTTCACCTTTTATACCAGTCTGCCATGAGGGTCCTTGTCAAAAGCTTTACTGAAGTCTATGTAGACAACATCAACCACTTTTCCCTCATCAATCATCTTCGTCGCCTCCTCAAAAATCTCAAGCAATTTGGTGAGGCACAACCTTCCAAGCTGTCTATCACTAATAAGTCCATTTGTTTTTAAATGGGTATAGATCTTGTTCCTGAGAATCTTTTCCAATAATTTCCCTACCACCGACATGAGACTCACAGGCCTGTAATTTCCAGGATTATCCCTATCACCCTTCTTAAACACTGGGACAACATTGGCTATTCTCCAGTCCTCTGGGATCTCACCTGTGGTCAAAGAGGATACAAAGATATCTGTCAATGCTCCAGCAATTTGTTCTCTTGCTTCCCTCAATATTCTGGGACAGATCCCATCAGGACCCAGGGACTTAGCTACCTTAATACTTTTTAATAGCAACTTGGCTTAGAAACTCGACACCCCCTTCCCTGAGATCATCCTCTATCAATTCCTTCTCTTTGGTGAGCTTCGACACAAAGTATTTATTTAGGACCTCACCTACCCTTTCTGGCTTCACACACAGATTCCCTCCTTTGTCCTTGAGTGGGCCAACCCTTTCCCTGGATACCCTCTTGTTTTTTATATATGTATAAAAAGCCTTAGGATTCTCCTTAATCCTGTTTGCTAATGACTTTTCATAATTCCTTTTTAGCCCTTCTAATTCCTTATTTAAGTTCTTTCCTACTTTCCTTATATTCTTCAAGGGCTTCATCAGTTCCCATCCTCCTAGACCTTACATATGCTTCCTTTTTCTTTCTGACCAAGGTCATAACATCCCTGGTCATCCAAGGTTCACATAACTTGCCATACCCATCCTTCATTCTCACAGGAACGTGCTGCTCCCGAACTCTTACCAACTGCAGTTTGAAATACTCCCACATGTAGATTTACCCTCAAATAGCCACCTCCAATCATAATTCTCCAGTTCCTGCCTAATATTGTTGTAGTTCATCTTCTCCCAATTTTACACCTTCATCCAAGAACTGCTGTTATCCCTATCCATGAATATCTTAAAACTCACGGTATTATGGTCACTACTCCCAAAATGCTCCCCCATTGAAACTTCACTCACCCGGCCGGGCTCATTTCCCAAAACCAGGTCCAGTATAACTCCTTGATAACAAGATGTAGAGCTGGATGAACACAGCAGGCCAAACAGCATCAGAGGAGCAGGAAGGCTGACGTTTCGGGCCTAGACCCTTCTTCAGAAAGGTCCA